TATATATATATACATTTACTTCCTTAAAAACGTTGGAAAGAGTGGGGTCATCAAATAATACTGTATGAAGTGTGTATACTAATGGATAGACATGTGAAATTTTCTATAAAAACAATAAAAATACATAACACATGTACATGTACTCTCAGTAATATAAGTATCCTTTATTACTTAAATATTTACAGCTAAAATATGTAACACGCTCATATGACCTTTTGCACTTGGGAGCGCCGTAAAACAATTACCGAAAATAAATAATAATAATGTGTAACTCAACCTGATGTATAAGACTCACTGGAGAAATACTAAAACTAAGAATTAGGAACAAAGATATATATACGGTACATCATATTAAAAATGTTATATCTGGTTAAAAGAAAACGCATTGAGGACGAAGTTTAAGTCAGTACTTACAGATTCCAAAGTCATAGCAGCAGAAAGTTGTTTCTTTGGAACCGTTTTGCGTTCAATGTCGAGTTTCTTCAACTTCAAGGATCAGGTATAAAATAACCAACACTAGGAATTCTGCAGTAACTCAAGCAGGAACGATAGCGCGGAGATAAATACTTTCTAGACCTGTACTTGGTACAAAGCTTATCTTTAAACTTTGATCTTGTACTTGTAGTAGGCGAACGGTTCTGTCGACTGTCCCGTCTGCTAGGACCATTGCGAGCGAAGTGGTGCAAGACGTACGGTGCTATGCTTTTTATAGTATTATTAGTAGTTGCCGCTGCGCTCAGCTGAGCGATTTCCGAAGTGGGCTGGTGATCGGATTTCCCCGAAACAATGAGTGACGCGTCGGCTCGTGCGGTGCAGCGAGACACTCGAAAAGCCCACACACATGACTCGATGGAAAGTGAAACTAAAACCAAGCAATTTTTTCGTTTTCGTTTTAGTAGAGGTTTTTTGGCGCTCGCAACTGCATAAGGTCATATGAGCGCCAAATGCAATTTTTTGTAATGTGGACAACGGAGGGGGGGGGGGGGGGGGGGGGGGAGGGGGGGGGGGGGTTGATGGAGAGGTGAAAGGATTTAAGGAGACAATAGTCGTGTTATGGATAACGTGTTATAGATAACGGATAGATACTGCGCAGAGACATAATATTTCAACAAAGAGATCCTACCTCCCAGCTCGTCTCTCCCAAAAAAATGTGAGAATACATTAAAATTTTTAATGGGATCCAGTACGAACCAAAAATAAATAAATAAATAAATAAAAATTATCAGGTAGTACTTGATTCCCGGACCAAGTGCCCGACCTATGCGTCGAAGAATCGTCTGGTTCTTTTCTTTCTTT